CAGAGATACACAAGAAGGATCTAACAAGTAGTTACAGCTTAAGGGTTGTCAAAAATCAAGTGAGTCGTCTGGGGCACATACTATATTTCTATGAACACACAGTTCTAGATAAACTTACAATCCCATGCACCAACCCCAACATGTCTTCTTAGGCAATATGTATAGAAACAAAGGCTTGGACAGCAACAGAGCTGAAGTCAGCAAATTCATTCATCTGTCCATATTTCTATGAACTTGTTTCTTCACTTGAATAAACATTTTAAGCTTCATTAAACTTACTGCAAGTTACTTATTTGTTTAAAAATTCAAAGTACAAATTCCAGTTTTCCCCAAGTGAGGTCCAAGGCTGTCAATAATTCTGCGCTCTAATGAGAAAGCAGGGATGGTAACCTAAAGAATTTCTGTGTATGTATCGTTTTTCTAATATACAAACCGTCTCCTTAGAAAATCCAATTTACATTTCTAGGATTTAAAATATGCAAGCTCTTGTTTCTGTCATATCAAAATATTTTACTCTTTAGCTTCTTTTTAAAAATTCAATAAACCTTTGCTCATTGCCAGCTTTTCTTTCCCAATATCTCTTTGATCAAGATTACCCATCCACTCTGGAATAATCCAGAGGTAATTAGAACTTGTTACCTGCTTTAGCCCAAAAGGAGCCAATTTATCACAAGCTGTCAGGGATTCCAATTTTTAAATTACCAAGAGCCCAATTATGGACAGAGAAGGAAGGAGCCATCTTTCCAATTAAAGTGATTGACTTCTTAGCAAACTCAGTAGCATTTCACATTTTAATTCTGCTTATTCAAATCAAATGTGAGAGACTTCTTCCCCATGTTGTTGTCCTTCCAAAGAACAGAATACAACAAATATTCATTACAGTGCGATACAAGGCTGGACCTGGTAATGCCTTTGGCAGAGCTGGACATCTAATTTATCAACGGGGCTTGTCTATTTTTAGGGTCTCGTGGTTCCTTTGGCCTTAAAAGTGGGAAGAGGGATAATTATTTGTTACCTCACAAAGTTCACCCCAAATCACAGCCAGACTGTCCAGTGTCAGCTGTTAGGTTTGATGAAATGGCATTAAGTATCTCAATGAAGATTCAACAGGAGAATGAGGAACCAGGGACAGAACCCATTTTATGTACTGTTCAAAGAACAGAAACGCAATACAGCAAGCTCCGGACTTAGGAACATTCGAGTTGCAAACTTTCACAGGTTTGCCGTGCAGGAGGCACAGGTGTACTGTAGAAGACTCGCCGGGGCACATTATGGACAAGTCCCGTTTAGGAATATCCCGGAACGGAACTCATCCTCATGTCGGGGACTTGCTGTGTTGGACACCAAGTGGTGTGTGGAGGTAAACAAAGGTGGGGGCAAATTTGTTCCTTACTGGGATGGCGTTAGAATGAGTATGTATTGTAAAGGATTTGAAGGAGAAAAATAACAGATTCAGTTCGGAAAGTAGTGCCCTTTAGAGGATCCCATGGAAAAGAAGGCAGCCACGCCCGTCTCTGCAAGCTCCCAGGACTGTGCCTCTCCCTGGCTCTTCGTCTTGGTGACAGAGCTGCTGCAGGCCCCCTGCACCCGGCCTCCCTGCCCGCCCTCCCACAGCCTCAGCGGACCGGCACCAGTTCATCCCTCGAGAAACACGAAGGGCAAGTTGTACACCGTCTCCCTAAGTCCACGCTCTAGAACCTCCTCGTGGCTGGACACGTGGTCCCCCAGGTCTGTAGTCAGCGGTTGCCCGTCTCCCAAAAGCTTTCGGATTCAGCGTTCTAAGTAACCTCGGATTTTAAATGTCCTTATTTGACCATGGAATCATATTGGACCATTATAGTAGAAAATAAAATTGTAGTGCATGCTAAACTTTTGAAAATTTAAGAATATCCATGCAGTCGAGACTGAATCTCTGCCTTTATTGCCCCACATTCGTGCTCGTTCTCGGGAAGACCTGCACTAGGGGTTTCCAGTCACCAAGCAAGTACTATGTCCAGCACCTCCTCAAGGCACAGCAGGTGAGGAGGGGGGACCATGGTTGTCCCACAGACAGCCACCTCAGCAGGGGGAGGGCAGCATGGAGATGCTCTGATGGAATGAAAGTTTCATTTAGGGAGAACAGAGAAAGGAAAAACTCAACACTGTTACACAGGAGCTCAAGCACAGCTGGGAGGCAGGCTGGCTGGTCTCACTGAGTGGGAGCAGGGACTCCAGGCGTCAAACGTGTCACAGCATGGCCGCATGCCAGCCACTTCCAAGGACATTAGCATGAGAGGCAGAAGGCCAGACAGATGCCATGGAGCTGGGAATGCCCCAAAAGCCTAAGGTTTTTCACAAGGGGTGATCAAAATATACTGTAAATGTTTAAATTTAAAAACATGTTATAAGCCAGGCATGGTGGCAAACACCTGTAATCCCACCACTCAAGAGACTGAGGCAGGAGGTCCACTGTGAGTTTAAGGCCACACTGAACTAGAGACCGTCTCAAAAAAAAAAAAAAAAAAATCACAGTAGTAAACACATTGCCATTAATTGCTCTCAAAACATTCCCCCTCTGAACACACTTACCAAACTGTTCTTGTCACTTTCTAAAGCAATCCTAAAGTCCTTTCATGAATGTTCAAAAATACAGTGAATGCTGAGTGCTATCCAACAAAAAGGCAGCTCATAAAAACATGGTGTCCTCATCCACCTTATTCACTGGATCTGACTGTAAAACTTCTGGTTCTTCCCCCAAGTGAAAATACCACTGTTTTGAATTGATTCGGGACATCAAAGCAGCCACGTGTTGGGTGTGGTGGCATATGCCTGTAACCCCAGTACTCAGGAAGCTGAAGCAGGAGGATCGCCACAAGTTTGAGGCCAAAATGGGCTAGTGAATTCAAGGCCAGCCTGAATTACTATCTCAGAAAAAGAAACAACAAAAAACCAGCCAGGCCAGCCAACTAAAAACATTTACAAAAGAGGACTTCCAGAACTGGGATACTGTTTGATAGGAGGGGGAATACGCTGGCGGGCTAACGGCAATGTGTCTTGTACCTCAATTTGTATAAATGTTCACCTCTTTTTGATCATACCACCTATGTACCCACAGAAGCACAAGGGAAAGTGCAGCTGGCTGCAGTACGTGGTGGGCATGGGCAGAGACAGGGAACCATCCACACAGGGCTGACACACCACAGCTGGCCATGACAGTATCAATGGAGATTTAAGAAATGTTGAGAAAAGGGCTGGCACGGAGGACAGGGCTTTGCACCCACAACCACACTCGAGGAAGGATGGATGGATGCGCTGAGAGCGCCACTACTCTATGTGGACGCTCATTTGGGTTTCATGGGTTGGCTGGCTTTTGCTGCTGGATTTACTGTGATTACTCTTCACATCTCGTGTCAAGTCCTGGCTTTAAACCCTTAACTATTCCTGAGGTCAGTGAGGGAATTACTTCAACGCTCCTCTTACAGATGAGGAAATCAGGCCTGGGAGGTCCAGCACTGCCAGGGGACTCAGCAGTGCAGACATGGGATGGAAAGCAGCTGAGTCCTCATTACACAACCAGAGTAACAGCGACACCAGGTTTTGGGGGAGGCGCACAGAGGGCACAGAACTCCACACTGAGCTGAGTGGGAGCGCTGCTTGCTGAGAATGTCTGTTAGAAAGTAAATGGAAAGCTACCACGCTGCCCTGAACTTTTAAAAAATATCTGCACAAGACTCAAGTCCTACACCTTCAATTGGATCAAATTACTCTTATTGGGTTCCACTTTTAGACTAGTTTTTCCAACAGCATGTTTAAAAAACAAACATTTGTCTAAAAAGAAGGCAGAGAAATTTCGCTGGCAAAGATTTCGGTGTTTGAGGACTTTAATATTCTCCATACAGTCAACACAAAATACCCACAAGAGATAACAACAGGGGGAGGCACACTTCACAAAGACCTTCTGGAACTCACTGCAAGGAAAACGGCCACGTGAACAAAGGGGAAGGGAGTCTGACAGATTTTTAGTTTAATGGTATAAATGAAAAGCAAAGAACCAGACATTTCTTCTATGATTCAGAAGAGACTTTTTAAAAGTGAACTGTGGAACTTGTAGAGCCTTTTCATGAAGCAGCACATGGAGAGGGAATTGACAAATTCTAATATCACAAAGAACCATTTTATTAGAAATATAACAGCATAGAGAAATAAACTACATGTATTAAAAACAGACCTTATATAACCATTTATATAGTCAGTCACTTCATCTCTTTATGAGGATAACAATATAAAGAGATATCCCACTCTGCCCTTTGCCTGGAATTTGAAAACCCTCACCACACTGTCACCACCAACCTTCACCTCTGGGAGCCAAGCGACCCCACCGCTGTCTCGATTCAGAGCTACACCTCCGCCCCAAACCAGTGCTATGTTTGCATAACTCCAGAAGTAACTGCCGCTGGAACAATTAAGTCCCAGGCAAGTTCCAGTACTGACATCTACCTAAAAAAAGCAGTAGCAAAGACAAAATTTGACCGGAAATTGTTAGAAAAGCAATGGGAAGATTTAAAAACATGCTTCCAGTTCAAGTCAGGAGTAAGGTGGCCATTGGCTGGTGGTCCCATCAGCTTTGCAGAACTCTGAAAGTTTTGCTGTATTTCTTGCAAACTGAAGATTCTGTAATAATCATGTTCATTTGGGAAAAAACACCATGTCTTTCATGTTTATGCAGCCATTTCCCAAGTTACTCTAAACTTCGTCACTCTAGGGCAGAGTACAGACTAGTTAGGATATGTTCACAGTTGATGCATTTCCAAAAAATTTTCCATGAAGGCAGCCAGCTTCTTAACATCTTCGACTGTGACAGCATTGTACAGTGAGGCCCGCATGCCTCCCACCGACCTAAAGTGAGATCAAAGAAAAGAACACAAACATTTGCGCTAGGGGTGTCACTCAGTGGTACAGCGCTTGCCTAGCACAAGTGAGGTCCTGGGTTCAAGCCTAGTACCCCAAAAATAAAAGGTATCTAATCTACCATCACCATGACCCTGTCCCTCGTCACTCTCCTGAGTCACTGTGCCCAGTGTTCCCCCCGAAGACCCCCAAAAGGTAGCACAGAGCTTCAACTCCTTCATTAGAAAAGTCTTTCTTATGCAGTGAGGATCCATCACACTCCATCTGGGTCAATGCCAACTACTCATTCTGGATACATAAAAAACTAGATGAGGGCAAGAGTACAGCACCTTTCCAGAGTGCGCCCCAGAGTGCTGGCCATGTGGGCAGTGGATATCTTGCTGCCACTGTGGCTCTCAAGCATAAGGACAGCTACTGTCTAGACCTGCAAAGTTAACCTCTCTGATGTTCAGCTGGGGTCACAGCAATGCTCTCACACCAGGACGGGGAGGCTCTGTGCTGTGAGAGCTGGCTAAGCGATTTTCACAGCTGACTTTGACAGAAGCCCAGGGATGATGTGGCTCCCCACTCCCTTGCCAGGAACCAGTGCTACGGGTTCTGCAGTCTGGAGGCAGGCACACCCCCGAGGGCAAACAGATTCCCCCAAAGTTACACAACTGCTAGCCCCAGCTGAGTAGACTCTTGAGTGTGTGTCATTTTGCATTTGAAAAGGGAAATCAAATCTCAGGCCAGCTTCTGGACAGAGAGGGGGTGTACTTACCTATGCCCTTTCAAGGAGATCATATTGAGTTCAAGTGCTTTATCCAGGAACCTTTTCTCCAGAGCATCATCTCCCTTGGCACTGCCAATGCGGAAGGGAATGTTCATCCTGCTTCTATGCTGCGGCTCCACTGGACATCTGAAAACCAAGTGCATTACTTTAGCTACTTTTCAAAGGCATGGGCCATCATGAACAAATCTACAAGCTTAGAAAAAAATTTTCTAGATGCAAGTAGAAGATTAAAGCACAACAAACAAAAATCTTCCCAGAAAGCCAAGCAGATAATTCTAGGGCAGCCAGCAAGCTTCGACACAGACAGGAGGTCAGGACAGAGGAAGAAGGGTTTTCTGGCACAGAACTGCACCTGGAAGGTCTGGAGGCCGCCTGCAAGTTCTCTGACCTAACTGGGGTGCTAGGTGCCTGCTGGCAGTGGCTGTAAAGCCCACAGGACCCCACAGACGGCTCTACTGGAACTAGGCCAAACCCATGAGCTAGGTCACTTTACGTTCCTGCGCTGAGCTTGTGATCTTTAACTCCACACTGCCTCTGTGTCCATCAGCACACTGGGAAAAGGTAGCCACACTCAGACACGGCACTGCTCGGCCAACAAGTGCGGTCGAGCATCGATCGGTGCTGCAAACAAGACCTCAGGCTGTCCAAACTTACACTTCCACCTCCTGCTCTTGGCTGGTCGCTTTTCTCTGAAGCACTAGGAACTGCGCCTCGGACGTAGCTCAGCAGCAGGGCACCCGCCTGACAAGCGTGAGTTCCTGAGTTTGATGCCCAGTGCAAAAAAAAAAAGTACTAGGAATTAAACCCAGGACCTTTGAACTGAGCTGTATTCCCAGCCTGTTCTGTTTTCAGACAGATCTCACTAAGTAATCACTAAATTGTCCAAAATGGGCTCAAACTTGCAATCCTCCCCCTGCTTCAGCCTCCCAGAACACAGGACTACAGACAAGGGTAAGATGCCCGGCCAGGCCCTGAGTTTCACTTGGTTATTCTTCATTCACTTGTGGCTTCTTGCCTGTATTAAGGCTGGTAACCTTTTTTGTTATATACTTCAACTTTTTCCTGTCTGTCATGTTTTGTTTTGTCTTCAATTGTGTAGCATTTTAAAATTTGCATGAAATTAAATATGTCATTACTTCAATGTTTTTGAGTTTTGTGGCTTTTTAAAGAAAGCTTTCTGTACTCCTAGACTTACAAATTCTCACCAATATTTTTCTATAGGATTTTTATAATTCTGTTTATTGCCTTTAGATCTTTGTTTAGATTTTATTTTTTAATATAGTCTGATCCAAATAACTCTAAATTTGTTTACATGGACTCTCATTGCTTCAAACAGTATGTTATAATTATACTTTTCCTCTTAATTTAACAAGCAATTAATTCTCAAGTAAGCATGAGTGTTTCTGGATTTCTCTCCCATTGAACTACTACTATCCCTTCCTGTGACACTGCTGCACTCTAAATTAATATGGCTTTAAAGAATTATAATACATCATTTGGTAAGTTTGTCCCTCACTTAAAATTTTCAGCTGAACTTCTGCACAAACTTGAACAGATTTATCTGATGAAAACTTTCACAATTCTTGTGGCTATTTTTGTTACACCACAATTCTTGTGGCTATTTTTATTACAACAAACTGAAACTCAAAGAATAACCACTACAAATATGAGTCCTTCCAGGCATAGCAATGAATTCTTTCATTACGACATAAGTGTCTGCTCCTGTAGAATATGGAGCCGCAGCAGACTCTGACACACTGAGCTCTCGCTCATCACACTTTGCACCTGATCATCTCTACATTCTTCTCGTGGCTCCTGCACTGTTTAAGCCGAAGTCACACCATCTGCAACCTCTCTCTCGTTTCCTTGGCATGATAATTAAAGAGGACCACAGCCCCACATGAGCACCCGTGGGCCCCACCGGCCCACATTCCTACAGGCTGCCCCACCTCCCAGCACAGCCCCACTGTCTGTGCCTCCACCACACAGGCTCGGGGTGGCAGGGCAGCAATTCTATGGATACAATGCCTCGGAGTCCACCTACCTTGTCTCATTTTAAGCTCTTCACTAGACTCCCTCACACACATCCTTCTCTTTCCTAAGGCCTCGTCTTCACATAAGGTAACAGAAGTAATGTCTTCCCTGGATACAGAATCCATGGCTTGCATATTCTTATAATAATGAAATTCTTATTAAGCAGTGTATGTCAGGAACTTCTAAAGTGCCTTACACGGTAATAACCACAAAGAGTAATATTAAGAGCTAACAGGTGAAGGATGCTCACAATGTGCTACCACTTCTAGTGCTTTATACACATCAACCAGTGCAAAAGACTGTTCTCAACCCTTATATACACCATGCTCACTTGCCTTTCCATTTAATCCTAAGAGATATGTACCATTATTATGCCCATTGTACATACACGCTTACCTCAGGTCACTGGACCAAGGTCACGTGCCACATGTGGTAGAGCGAGCTCTGGCCCAAAGTGCTAGGCCACCCTGCCCCAAACAGACTCAACACCAGGTTACCAGTGCTATGGGGCGGTTAGGCTATGGAATGAACTCAGAATCTTCTAGGGTTATCTTATCTAATCTCAGTGGCAGGCTTGCCCAGAGTGGGTGCTCAGGAGCGGATGGATGGATGGATGGATGGATGGATGGATGGACGGACGGACGGATGGACAGACAGATGGACAACTGACTAAGCAACTGGGTAGTGACTGCCTGGTGAGGTGGACCGGTAGTTGGATAGATGAATGAGTAAGAAAATGCATAAGGATGTAGACAAGTGGACAGGTACATGGATGAATGAGCACATACACTGACCATGTCCCTCAGACTTCTCCACAGCTTATCTTTCAGTCTGGCACAACCATCTCCACCAGACAACCCATCAACTGTCCCCAAACACACTTTAACTTCTTCCCTGAGTGCTCTGTAAGGGCCACCACTTCCTTCTTTACAGTCCCTGCAAATACCCCTGCCCTCTTCGCTGCCTCATCTACTCACACCCAAGGCTCGAGCTCATCCAAAAGTTCTCCTTTCCCCTTCAGCCAGCCAGTAACCCAAGCTTATGTGCACTCTTTAGCCCTTGGCCATGAACTCCCTGAATTCTCTACTGCTAATCATGAACATTAAAACAGCTCCAATAAGCACTGCCAGGGTCTTCCAGCCTCCTATGCATCAGGACTAGGTGGGTGGCTTCCAACTTGCCTTTCCTCTGTTGCACAGAAGCAAGGGCAGCAGGAAGGTGCAACGTGCGTCCCTTGCCCTCGAGATGACAGCTACAGGGGAAGCTAAAGGCCAAGGCACCCAGCCAAGCCTGACCTGGCTTGCAGCTAGAGGTCCACTGCACACCAAAAACTTACAGGGGCAGGCAACAAGCACTTCAGGGGAAAGGCCATGGCAACTCATCGCTCTGTCCTAGCTGTCCAGAGGGTACACTCTCATCCTCTAAGCGTGGCTGCTGGTAGGAATGTGCAACTCTTGGCTAAAAACACAAATCTAAGTCAGAACTAAAGCATCCGAGTTTTCTATTGTCTGTGGCCTACAAAATACTCAGACAGTGCAAATCCTTTCATTACTAGCGGGCAAATATTTTTGTTACAACAAATTGAATCTCAAAGAATAATAACCACTACAAAAAGGAGTCCTGCCAAGCATAACTATACATGCCTATAGTCCCAGCTATTCAGGAGGCTGAGGCAAGAGGATATCAAGTTCAAGCCCAGCCTGGCCAACTCAGCAAGAACCTGTTTCAAAATAAAAAAATAAAAAGGACTGAAGATGTAGCTCAGCATTTCCTCAGTTCAATCCCGGTACTACCAAAAGAAAAGGTGTTGGAGAAGGGTTGGGGGTCCTAAGTCATGTGCAGTGGTGCACACCTGTAGTTCCAGGTCTCAGGAGGCTAAGGCAGGAGGATTGCTTAAGCCCAGGATTTCCAGGCCAACTTGGACAGCACAGCAAGGCGCCCACAGAAGACAAAAAAAAGAAAAAGAGGGTCTTGGCTCGGCAGTGGAGTATAAATGCGACTGCATGTATGTCTAATTGTTGTATAAAAAGAAACACAGGTGGCATGAAGCTCGTCCTTGATAAATGTTTCTCCTAGCAACACACAGTGGAAGGAGGGGTCTACCCCAGGGATCAGACTGAGATTCTTCCTCAGAGTGATGTCACTGCAGTGAGAAATCCACCACCCACTGGACACAGGTCCCAAAGTCGAGGATTCCTGGGTGAACAGCAGGAGACAAAAATTCAACTCCCATGCTTAGGGGCCCAAGACCACCCCCCCGACACACCAGTACATCAGTGTCTCAGAGAATGGAGAAGTTTTCAATTCACAAGAGGCAAAATGTGAGATGAAATCCAATGACTTACACATAGAATCCTTGAGACTTATCAATAATGTCATAAATCATCTTAGATTTGATGGAGCTAAGCTTCGCCATGTTTGGTGCGCCACCATTGTTCTTAATCCACTCCAAGACCAGGCCCATGACATAGACACTAAAATAAAGATGAAAACAAATTTAGCTCACCTCTGCACAAGTGCAAAAACATTCAAGAAAACTGCTGTCAGAGTTGCATTCAGACAGGTAAAAGCAGGTCACATATAAATCGGTATGTCACAGCACAAGGACAAGGGTCAACCCCAAACCAGACCCCAAGGGCCACTCCAAAAGCCTTAGTAGGGCACTCAATGGAGTCTTATCAGCCCCTCCCTGCCTACCCCACACCACACAGGCTCCCCATGACACCTGGACCACACACACAATTCCCCCCACCTCACAGGACATATACAGCCAGTATCCCCAACTGCACCCAGCATTAACTCTCTATTTCCTGAACTCCACAGTCCCTCGCCCACACTATCTGCAGTATTTTCTACCACGCACCCTTTCATCTTATGCTTCAGCATGCCTGTGTTTGCGAATCTAGTCTTAGAAGGCTGGAAGCTCACACCATTCCCCTTTTCTATTCCTAAGCCCTAGTTCAGTGCCTTCCTCCTAGCAAAGGCCATGTGGCACAGCAGCTAAGATCACGGGCTCCCTGTCCTCATCCTGATTCCAGTCCTAGTACTACCGAACATACTACACAGGATCAGTCGCTCAGGAATCCGAGTCTCAGCTTTCCCTCTGGGAACAAGAACCACCTACTTAAGGTAGCCACCCAGTATTTTACCTGTTCTACTCTTCTCAAATCTACCCTCCCACCCAACATGCTGATTCCCAGTGATCCTTCCCCCTCTGGTCTCAGAGTTGGATGTAGGACTTAACCTGACCAATCAGAAACTTCCCTGGAGGCAGGGTAATGGTACAGGCCTGTCTTCCCAGCAACTGGGAGGCTGAGGCAGAAGAATCACGAGTTTGAGGCTAGCCTGGGCTACACAGCTAGTTCAAGGCCAGCCTAAACTACATAACAAGAGTCTGTCTCAAAGAAACGAAACAACAAAAAAAGAAACATCCCTGGGATTTCTCACCTGGGAGTGAGGAGAAAAGCAAACTGAGTGTGGGTGCAACTGTAAGATACAGCGTAAGTGCACTAGGGGATCTCGTTTCTAGGCAACATTTAAAGGAGGCTCATGAGACACTGAAGCCAACACTTCCGCTGAGAGGGGCCAAGATCAGAAGTGGAGAACAAACAGTAGATGGCTTGTGTTCCTGGTTCCAGGGAGTCCCGCCGTACCACAGCCCTCCTTACATTTGGGACCATCTCTTTCTGAGGCAAATAAGCCCATTTCTTGTCTCCTGGAAGACCCATGCTGAGCACAGGACCAGGTACATGGCAGGTGGGCCACAAAAGGTAGCTAGTAAAATTTTTACTGTTGGCCTCCCAAAACTAAGCTGAAAATACAGAACAGTGGATGGATTTCCCCAGCAATCTTCTGCATGCTTTGAGTACTTGTTTGCAGAACATGATGTTTACATTCTTTGTGTGGAATCAGTGAACATACAGAACACATCTCAATTCTCTTTTTCATCCTCTTTCCCTCCCTTCCTTCCCCCTCTCTCCATCTGGATCCCCTTCCCAGTTGACAAAAATCTCTCTACCTGCTTCCTATAATCTAGCTTTTACTTTGCTCTTTATTTACATTTGAGTTTCTCATATAAGAGAAAAGCCATGCAATATTTAACCATTTACCAGTCCAATTATTTAAGTACAGGATGACCAAAAATTTATTTTTGTTAATCTTTGTAAGACAACAGGAAATATAAAAATGACAAATTTTAGAAATTTATTCAGTAATTTTTCTGTGTATGGTATATTTTAAAACATTCAATACATAATGCAATGCCTGGTCTCTTTCTGGATTCTTTTTGCACTATTTCTTTCTTCAAACAACACACTTTACACTGTCGGGTCAGTCTTTACTTTTCTCCTGTGGGTGGCGTAACTACAATAAAATGTCTACCCACCAAACATAATGGCGAAGACCTCAGTGATGGACGTCCTGGTTAGCATTTCACTATCCCTTACTTTTCAGTTATTTGGCCCAATGGACCTAATCTAAATTGTAAATGACTTTTTGAACCCCTTCGTTTTGAATAAATACCAAGTTCCATGTTGTTTGGTTCACGAGGTCCATAAATATTTTATAAAATATTTTTTCTCACTTTTTGATTATAGGATAGCTTGTCAGATGTTGGTCAACTCTATCAATACCACAGAATTATTATAATCATTGACCACTATTGAAATTTTTTTAGTTTCATTTCTTCTTTCAAGTTCTATCATTTATGTATCATGAAGCTGACGTAAGGAGACGTCATTTTTGTCTTTCCATTTCCTAACAGACTTTTCCTCTCTGACAGCTAATATTTCTCCCTTTTTCAGTTTTCTTGTTTGCAGATCTTTTCCATCTCAGCGTCCCAGATATGTCACCATTCTGAATTGTACAAGAATATCATTGAGTTCTGGAGAAGTATAACAATTATATCTTATGTACTTACAATAATAGTTTTTAAAGATTATAGAATAAAACTGTTGGTTATTTTTCACAAATAAACACAAATTAGTAAAAGAAAATAACCAGTACTGTTAAATTTCACTAGAAACCAGCATCAAAAGCAAATATAACATTCTAAATAAGAAATGTGCAAAAAATAGCTGATATAACAGGCATCCAAGTGTATGTCACGCAAACAAGCATCCACTGGTTGAAATGACACCAGCCCAGGCAGTGCTTAGGACAGTCACTATGCAAACACCTGCCCATCACGCGGGTGAAGTGCTTGGTGGTTAGCTTGTGTGTGTGTGTGTGTGTGAGAATGCCTCTGTTTTTAAAAGGTTCCAGGGGCTCCACGTGTTCCTCACTGAAAGCAGCTCATCCTCCCCACCGCACCCCCTCAGCTAGAGCTAGACAACTGCTCTCCCACTGAGTTACTCCCCAGCCCCATCTTTGTACCATACCTGGCTTTACACCATTTTTCACAGGGGACTTGAGCATCTGAAAATTACTATCCATAGGGGATGGTAGAACAAATCCCAGATACCAAAAGGTAGCTGTATTATTCCTAGTTAAGATTCTGTTAGGATGCACAACAAGCAGTTAGAGATCACGCTGGAGACTGTATTCACTTGGAGATCATAGTTCCATGTTATGTTACTTTACTAAATTTTTTAAAGCAGTATAAACCATTCCCTGGGTGACCGGGCTTAGAAAAGCACACCAGAAAGTCCTGGGAACTCTCTCCCAGGCTGATTGAAAGGTTCTGACTGCAGATAAGCTCTGGCCTGGAGGCTGCAGGCACAATTTTGCGAGGGAGGACCTGGTGAAGGTAAGCACTGGGTCACACTCTCCCCAGGGGCAGCCCCGTGTGGGGTCCACTATGTACCTTCTCACAGGCTCCTCCTACACCTCCCATTCTGGTAAGAAAGGTGGTTGAGTTAACAATATTTTCGTTTCATATTTTCATTAAACCAAAAATAACTGGATTAAAAATGCAGCTAAATACTGCAGCTGAAACAGATTTATGCTTCAGGTTCAGTTAGTCATGGTAAGTAAAAGCTGTTTTGTGGGATTAGAAGGGACATTCAGGCACCTTTTTCCTCTATGCATCAACTGGCTTCAATACGCCCACACGAAGTGCTAGGGAATGACTGTGGCCCTTTATTCTAGCCCAGCGTGTTGCTCAGGGCTACAGAGCAACTATTTGCAACCCAGTTTACCCAGCACAGCTAAAACTAAGTTCCCAGGGTCTGCAGTCTCTCAGCTCTGGCAAAAACAAAACCAAACCACGGGCATCAGTTCAAACTCCAGCCTGTATCTACACAATGGAGACACAAAGTCCGGAGGCGTTCTAGGCACCTGGCCAGCCTCACAGGACTGGGGCCAGCGCTTATGCGTGTAGGCCAGTGTATGCACATAGGGACGGCTCCCGCAAGGCAGCTGTGCAGTGCTCTGCAAGTTTAGGCACTGCAGCAGAACACAACAAGGCCAAGTCATCCTCCAAGCCACTGGATCCTGGGTGTCCCTAATGCACAGTCACGCAAGACTTCTGTCTTCTTAGGGAGTAAAACAAAGCAAAGCAACCACCCTGGTCAGAATTCTTTAACGCAGCATCTTTTGTCCTATACACTCACCAATTCTAACCATGCCATTAAGCATCCTAACTTACCCTAAGGCGTTCTGGTCTGTGCAGGGAGAAACTGCCCCTTTTCTGCCCTTGTCTCTGTACCCCGACAATGCCCAGCAGGAAAGCCCTAGGGAAGGGGCGCCTGTGTCTCCCTAGTCTTCCCAACTCCTGTGGACCAGGTGAGGGGGTCAAATCAGGCCAAGACCCAGGAGTGAGGGGGAGGCCAACAGGGGAGTCACTCTCCTTCCACTTTCCCCTCCCATGAGACATCTGGTCTACTTTCTCAAGGCTCCCACTGAAAGGTTTACACCTCAACAGTAACAGCACGTTTATCAGTGTGCTCACTATCTGTTGAAAAAGCGCCTCAAGGTAATTCTTGGAGAGGTGCAGCAAGTACATGGCTCACCCGGCCCCTGCCACCTCCTGCCCTGGGCTAAGCCATGGTCGGAACTTGCTCGCCTTGAAGGACATCTTGGGACAGGCCTTTCTCGTCTCCTCCCACCCTCTCATTCTGAAGCTGATGGGCCTTGACCATCCCTGTCAGCTCACTCACTGTGAGAAGGTCTGGCCCCACCTTCTAACAGTAAGGGCCACCGCCTCTCCACTGCCCATGCAACCCTGCACCCTGCTCTTGAGGTCCCCTGCACAGTATGGTCACCGCTGGCCTGCCCAGTTCTGTTCCAAAGCTGCCCAGTGGCCACTGGTGTTTGCCTACTGCCTAAAACCTCATGCATGGGAAGCAGGTGACAGATTTCAGGCCACGCCCCTAATGCTCACTTCAGAAACATTCTCAGCTGGGCTGGGGGAGGGGACCAAAGTTAGAAGTGACCAAGAGTCAGGCCCAGAACACACTGTCCCTGGGGAAAGTGAAGTCACACAATGAGGCTGCTTGGAAATCTCCACCAGAATGTTAACTTTGGGGAAACGCCTTTGTTACAGTAAGTTACAGCATGGGAAACATGGTCTAGAGGCAGCGCCTAGAGAAGAGGGAGCCCCAACAAAGTCAGGACCCAGATAAAACCACTTACTACACTGGCCTGACCCCAGCCTGGAAGAGAACTTCCAGACAAAAATCCAACTGAGTCACAGAACTGGACTTCAACAGGCATCTTTCTCCTGAGACGGAATTCTGCAAGCAAACAAATGCACAATGACCGTTCTGCTTGCGAAAAGCGCGGTGTACACTCCCAGGCTCTAGTACCACAATGCACTGCCTGGGCCCACACCCAGCAATGCCACTTCTGAAAACATGACCTCTGCTTCCCCGCTTGCAAAATGGAAGTAAGAATCACCCCACAGGGTGGCCAGAGGATGAATGGAGTCCCGACCCATACTCCTGAACATCACAGGTATTTGTCTTACAAAGATAAATCCATAAACTGACTCTTCCTCTGTGTCTGCCCCTGCTGAGTCTCTGGGAACTAAGAACAACCAAAGGCACCTAACATTTACAACCCCCCCCAGTGCCAGGTAGTCACTAAGTACAAAGTAGGTACTCAACCTCATAGTACCCCAAGGGAAGGGTACTGTGACTGTCACTTCTGGAGACACCTGCTGCACAGACAGGTTCAGGGACTTCCCCAACGTCATATTCCTACTAAACAGACTTCCTTAGGCAGTGGGTAAATTGTTGGGAGCCCCTGGAGCCAGTTATTGGTCAAGCAGTCAAGCTACCTCAGTACTGAAAATGGCATCCTGCCGGGACAATTACAGCATCGCTAGGCAACATTATTTCTCCTGATACTAACTTTGCAAGAGTATAAAATAAATATCCCTACTGTTGAAGTCAGTCCTCTTGCTCATCAGGTAAGAGGTAACCCCACCTGACCCAGCTCTTGTCTCTTGTCTATTTTTCTCATACCCACCACCGTTTCTCTCCAGGGTACAATGAGAGACGACGAGGCGCCCTATAGTAAATCATGAAGATTTCTCCAAAACATCCGAGTCTGGGAGTGTAGACTGAGGGGCAGGGCAAGCCTGCTCTTCCTAAAGCACCGCGAAGCAGAGGCCCACTCAGTTACAGGGCCCCAGCAGACTGGGCTTCCAAACAGAAGGCATTCCAGGCCCATGTCTGCTGTCAGGCAGCCAGCTCCACACAGCCCAGTAGGGAAGGAAGGGAAAGCCAGGGGCTTTGGCAGGCCTTCCAGGAAGCAGCACTGGCTGTCCTCAGTGCCTGCTGCAGGATTTCATCCAGAGAGCTCTGGGTTAATGGTGACCCCAGGGGCCTGGAATGTCAAGATCAAAACAGCAACACATTCTCCAAAAGCAAAGGGCAGAAGAAAAACTGATCTAACAGTGGGGAAGGGGCCAAAGAGGGAGCTGCGCCAAGCCTGATGGGTCCTCTGGTCACCACTCAGGAAGGTGCTAACTTTAAGAACTCACCACCCCGGAACAGGTCCACAGCACTTCGCCCCAGTTACCTGAAACACGGAGGCGTGTTGTACAGTGAGCTGTTTGCAGCCTGCACTTTGTAGTCCAGGACTGAGGGGCATTCCCTGAGGGCGAACCCCAGCAGGTCATCGCGGACGATCACCACTGTGACCCCAGCACAGCCGACATTCTTCTGGGCACCGGCAAAAATCACACCAAACTTAAAAAGAGAAAAGTGTACGATTTTAGGAACATTCACCGTCATTTCCATTAGTGCATGCAAACTTTCTCACTCTGCAAAGAACTGCTTATTGTGAGAAAAAGACTATTCCCATTTAGGAAGCGTGCACCAGGCCAGCGCATCAGTTTGTATCAGCGTATCTGCACAAAGCCTAACCTTTGCCTCCAAGAGGCCACCCAAGCCCCACACTGTGGCGACCTCAGACACATCCACATGCTCAGAAGCCTCCACGCTACAGCCAAGCGAGCCCTCACACTTGAGCTGCTGCCTGGGGTGCAGCTCAGGGGTACAATGTACACTCAGCATGCACCCCCAGCACTGCAGAAAAATAAAATCAAATAATGAACAGACCCTCCGAGCTGCTCACAGTGGCACACACCTAAAATCCCAGAACTCTAGGAGGCAGAGGCAGGAGGATAAAAGTTTAAGCTCCGGGCAACTTAGGGAGTAACTTAGTGAGATTCTACCTCCAACAAAAAATGCAAACAGCAGATGTAGCTTAGTGTGAAGGCCCTAGGGACAATCCATAGTACAGAAAAAACACAACAAAATCAAATAAAATAGGGGCTTTAAATATCCTTGGCAACCAAAGGAAGAAATACAGTCTTCTAGAAGATTTATTTTTTAATGTTTTTGCAATTTTTAAATGTTAAGAATGCTACATTACTTCAATTTTTAAAATAACATTATGTGAATATTTAAAATAAGCAAAACTTTTTTAAGTTTTTAAAATGTCTTAAAGATCAAAACTCTATTTACACAAAATTTTTATATGAAAGATGCTAAGGAGGAGGCTGCTGAGATGCACAGAGGAGATGACAGGACCAGCGGTCCGAGGGAGAGGAACTGAGAAAGCAGATATTCTGTGCACAAGATTAGAACCTCTCACCTGTCCCCCATAAAACTTTAGGACATCAAGTGTGAGGCATGTGACTTATAGTTGACATGATTTAGAACTGCCAGTGCCTGGTGATAACAAAAGGCAGGCTATAAACTAAGTATGAAGATTCACACAGTGGAATATTATTCAGGCTTTAAAAAGGCAGTTCTGAGGCAGGCATGGTAGCACAGATTTGTGATCCTAGCTATTCAAGGGGCTGAGGCAGGAGGCCAATCTGGGCAACTTAATGTCACTGTCTCAAAATAAGAAAGGGCTAGCAATGTAGCTCAGTGATAGAGCTCTTGCCTAGCTAACATGTGCCAGGTCCTAGGTAAGTCCCAGTTACCACAAACACACACATGTACACACACATTTACACATAAACGCAGAGTTCTGACAGGTGCTTCAACATAAGTGAATCTTGACATTATTATGGTGAGTGAAATAAGCCAGACACCAAAGAGAAGTATAGCATGATTCCACTTACAGGAGGTCCCTAGAGTAGTTCAGCCCACGAAACAAAGTGGAAAGGTAGCTGCCAGGGGCCAGGGACTGGGGTCTGCGGGAGTGACTGTTTCATGGGTACAAAGTTTCAGTCTGGGAAAATAGAAAGGTTCTTAGAGATGGAGGGTGGTGATGGCTGCACAACCATGTGAATATTCTTAATGCCCACGAAACACATGCTTAAAGGTGGTTAAGGCTGGGTGTGGTAGCACACGTCCATAAACCCAGGCACGGAGAGGCTGAGGCAGGAGGAACACAAGTTCAAGCCCAGCCTGGGCAACGTAGTGACTTAGTGAGAACCTGTCTCAAAATAAAAAAGGCTGGGGAGATAGCTCAGTGCAAGGTCCTAGGTTCAATACCCAGTATCTCTCTCTCGCACACATTCTCTCTCTCTCTCTCTCTCTCTCTCTCTCTCTCTCTCTCTCTCACACACACACACACACACACATAAAGTTGAAATGATAAACTTTATGTTAAGCATACTATGCCACAACTTAAAAAGAAAAAAAAAAAACAGACCACTATTTGGCTGGTCTGACTGTTGCTTTTACACCCTTTGCAGACACTGCCCGTTACTGTGCACACCCAGGACAGGCTGGGGCCACCCAGTCTATACATCCTACGGCTGCCTTCAGCGTCCAGGTGCCTGCAGCAAGGAAGGGGGGCTTCACATAGGTGCCCTGGGCTGGGACAGATGGCATCTGCCTTGGAGAGAAGAAGCCACTCCCAAAAGGTTTCTGAAAGCCACCCTCGAAGGCAGGACTTGAGTGCAGCCCACAGAGCAGCAACTATTATCACAGGTCTGGAAATGCTGGGATTTAAACCTCAGGATAGGGGCTGGGGATTTAGCTCAGCGGCAAAAGCGCTTGCCTGGCAAGCGCAAGGTCGTGAGTTCGGTTCCTGGTACCGGAGAAAAACCAAAAACCCAAAAAAAATTAAAAAGTAAAAAAAAATAAACCTCAGGACAGCTGGTGACAAGCAACTGCTGGCCAGCTCACTGACACCTACCCTGGCTTTGGGCTCTGCTAGCCCTGGCCTCCCATGGCCTTTCCCATTCTCAGAAATACTGGAACCCCTGAGGAAACCAGGTCAGCCCCGCTGTACACTACCTTGGAAACATCCACTGGCTTGGACAGGAAGTTGGACGACATGTCGCAGACCAGTACTGCTCCCTTGACGTCAGGGATGAAGTCAAACTCCACACCGTGCACGGTCTCGTTTGCACAGAAATATACATAGGAGGCATCCGGGCTGAGGGTCCAGGAGCCTGGATCTGGAATTTCTGTCACAGAAGACAAGCGTGAAACTCTGCCTTCTGACTCGGGTCTTCTCCTGTTGCAGGTGTCAGCCAGGAGACTCAGCAGTCCCCCTGCAGCCTGCCCGACTCCAAAGCTTTTTGCAAGTAAAAGCACCCTCCTTCTTCCATTACCACCCCAACACCCTAAAGGATGACCGTTCATACCCCTGAATGTGTTGGGCACAAACAACCTTGAAAAGTGGCACAGGATGGGGGGATTATTCCTGTCCCCCTGCTCCTATCTCTCCTATGCCCACTAAGAACCCAAAGGCTTCCCTCAAGACCCGGGCCCTCATCCTCTCAAGCCCACAGGAATCCCACAGCCTCAGAGGCAGGTGGGACTCAGGCACCACCACACTCACTCACACAGGGCACGTGTGGCTGTCTGAGAATGTCCTAGCAAAGCCATTGAAACCTGGGAAGCCACAGGCCATCTTCCCAGAAAGAGGGGACAGCTTTCCCTGACTCTGGAACCAAGGGCACACAGGAAGACACCAGACCTGGAGGCACTACCAGGGCCCGGGACAGCCGTTCTAGAGCCTCCACCCACCCCACCCCCAGCTTCTCAGCTAAGCGGGCCTACAACTATTCTTCGCTGCAGACACTGGTTAGGAGTCTTCTACACTCCAGCCACTCTGTCCACCCAGTGCCAAACTAAGCACTGGCAAGGGGAGGAAAGCTTCAGGAAGAGCAGACTGCCCTGGGCATGGGGCCTCCCTTCAGCTCCGTACCACCCAGGTCCCTGAACTTACTGGTGTAACTCCCAAGTTTAGGGTGGACGACATTCACAGTCCCAAACTTCTTAGCTTCTTCTGCAGCCTTAGCTGACCACGATCCTGTTACCACATAGTCTGCACACCTTCCGGCTTTCAGGCCAATCAGGTTTAACGGGACAGCACTGAACTGGCCACACCCACCTCCTTGTACAAAAATCACTTTGTAGTTGTCCGGCACAGCTCTAGGTAGAAGCACAGGTTAACAATAAATATGCATGGGGCTGGAGTTATAGCTCAGTAGCAAAAGCACCTGCCTGGCAAGCACAAGGTTATGAGTTTGATGCCCGGTCCCACAAAAAAAAAAAAAAGACCAATACCAAAAGGCTGGGCATGGTGGCACAGGCCTGTAATCCCAGCACTCGGGAGCCTGAGGCAAGAGGATCATTGCGAGTTCAAGACTAGCCTGGGCTACCAAGTGAACTCAAGGCCAGCTTTAACTGCACAGCAAGACCCTGTCTCAAAAAGTCAAAAAAAAAAAAAAAATTAATACACAGGTTCACATGGTCAAAGAAAAAGTGATGTCCTAGCAAGACATCCTTGGATGGACTTATTATAAGATATATAGTAGGGCCGGGGATATAGCTCAGTGGCACAAGTGCCTGCCTGGCAAGCGCAAGGTCCCAAGTTTGATTCCCGCTACAGAAAAAAAAAAAGAAAGAAAAGAAACATGGTAAAGTCTCAAAGTGAGTTCAAGGCCAGCCTGAACTGCATAGCGAGACCCTGTCTCAGAAAGACAAAAAAAAAAGAAAAAAAAAATCATCCCCAGATCCCTCAGTCCATCAAACGTGGCTAACCCCAGCTCCAGATGTGCACGTGAGCTAAGCTGGCCCATGGGACTCGGTCCTGGGACCTGCTCAAACTTCTCAGTAAGTCTGGAAGAGTGAATCCTGTAACCACAGGTAGCCATCTGGCAAAGCTACCACATAAGAAAGCAGAGCCACAGCTAGGCATGCTAGTATATGGCTATAATCCCAGCACTCCTGGAAGCTGACGCAGGATGACTGCAAGTTCAAACCCAGTCTGGGCAAGTTAGTAACTCGGGGGGACATTGTATCAAAATAAAAAACAAAAGGTCGGAGGATCTAGCACAGTACCAGAAGGCCCTGCATTCAATCCCCAGTACTGAGAAAAGAAAAAAGAAAACAGACCAAGTTATGAGATAAAGAAAACCCTCCTGATACCAAAATTAAGATGATGCATAGAATGGCTACAGTCAGTAGAATAAGGCCAGTTCCACATGGCCAGGGCCCAGAAACTGGCCCCACGTCATATAGCAGTCAACAGTTTAGGAACAGGGGACTGAGCTGTAGCAGATGCATAAAGATTAACAGGCACAGCAACACAGGGGGGTCTTCAAGAACAGAGGGTGTGCCAACATCTCATTCTGAGCTGTGCCTGGCGGGCACTCAGGACTCAGCAGCATTCAGCGGGACAGCGAAGCAGCCAGGGGGAGCTCCGAAGACTATACATGGGATCTTGGCAGCAGGATGACTGCCACCACAGGGTTCCAGGAACCCCAGTTAGAAGAGGCTCAGAGCCATGAGGCTAGTGCCACATCTTTCAGGCCAAGGTTTCAAATATCTTCTCCAATAAGAACTGCACTTCTCCTTGAATGTGACATGAGACCCAGCGTGACAAGCCAGATAAAGAATCATCAGTTCTGAACACCCAGCAGTGCAATGGCCTCTTACTCCCCGCAGGAACCCCAAGTCCACCCCCAAAACTCACTTTACCAAGGTAACATACGAAAAGTTATGGAAAAGTCAGAGCAGTTCGAACTGTGTTCGTGAAATGATGTAAGGATAATCCCTAAAATATTAATGATTATCCCTGAGTGGTGGGGTTACAGATAACATTGGGTTAACTTCTAAAGTTGCAGCATGTTTTTGACCATAAACACACATTATTTTTGTGACCAAAAACAAAAACGGGAGTCCATTTTGAAGGTTACCACATTCATATGCACATGTCACTGTCTTTATATAACAAATAAAACCTGTCTTTTAATAGCAACCTTAGTAAGATATCCTAAGAATAAGGCAGGAAAAGCAGAGCAGATAATCTTAGCGGTCTCACTTAAGCAGCAGTCCAGGAGTTCACAATTCTTGCAATGATCCACATAGCCTGTTGGAAATAAAGTTTCTCCAGACACTCAATTCAGCAAATGTGGACGGGCCTTGAATTTTGTAAAAATCTACCCCCAATCAAGTGATTCTGACAGGTGGTAACAGGTCCACACCCAGAAGACCCCTGACCTAGATTGCACGTAATTATGCTGACGTCTAAGTCCCCTTCAAGCCGGTTTAGATACCACAGTGCTTCCCTGATACGATGATTTCCCATCTCTGGATATACCACATAAACAAAAAGCACATAAACTCGGGCTGGGAAATACATAAAAAAGCATTACGTGCTAATAGCAAACTTTAGAGTAACTTGGTTAATTTTTATTTATGGAATATTCTGAACAGCAGAACATAAGAAACAATGCAACAGACACTCAAGTTTATGGAGTACCAAACAAAAGTAACACAATTTGGTTTTTTTTTAAACTTACAACAATTCTCGCACCAGATTCTCTGTGTTCCCGATAATCTTGCCAAAATCTGATGACCTGTGACTCATTTCTGTAGAAGATAAACAACAAAAATTGTTTTATTTCAAAACCAAGTGAACATAAGAGTTTATGAAATGTACAGGGAAATAACACAGGAAAATTTCAGTTACTTTTCATTCAAATTGTGAGCCCAGGCTCACTTAACGGAGGGGACAATCCAAGTTGAGTTTTTAGTTACAAACAATTTCACCTTATAGTCACTACAGAATGATTTTTAAACTGTCACATTCAATAATCAAGTTACTCGTGAACTTATCACTGGGGTCCCTGCAACTCTTCCTCACACCATGGCTTTTGCACACACAGGAATCAGTGAGCAACCTCTCACTCTGTGATCTCACCTCACAGAAATGCAACAATATGTAGCAAACTCAGGAAAATAGGCAACACAAATAAGCAATACACTTAATCCTATAGTCTGTTTAACAGCTCAGTGTTTGGAACTTCCCCCAAAAAGAAAATTTAAAGAATAAACCTTTGGGGGGCTGGGGATTTAGCTCAGCGGCACAGCACCTGCCTGGCAAGCACAAGGTCGTGAGTTCGATTCCCAGTACCGGGGGGAGAAAAAAAAATGAAAACAAACAAACAACAAAAAAAATAAACCTTTGAACTCAAAGGTCCAATATTCTCCGATATGTCCCATAAATCAAGGAAGAGAAATTTAACAATGAAATTACTCATGTGCAAGGTCAGAAGGCTTTAAGTACAATAACAAACCTTAAGTTCAATGTGAAACAATATTATAAATCGTTAGTAGCATTGTAATGTAAATATATGCATTATCTTCGGATCCCAGACCCTGTGACTAACAAAAACCAGTCCAGAAACAGCTGGCTGAGATGCCTAAGGCTCTTTTACCAGCAATTATGCTGTTTTCAGAACCGCTGCAAGCAAACACGCAACCCAAGTTATCAAAATTTAAAAATGTATCTACAAAGGCTTATGGGAAGATCCAGCAGAAACTCAGGCCCCGTTCATCTAACCTAGTTCCCCGTGGAATCCAAGCATTCACAAAATCCAAAAGCAAATCTTACCAAGAACACTAATGCCAACTCCTTTGTAGTCTAGTAATTCTTTTTGCAACTCCAGTAACACCTAGAAAAATAAAACAAAAAGGTTATTTTTATATGTTGTGCACAACTTTCCCTCTATACAAAAAAAAAAAACCAACTAAATAAACAAATAAAACCAGGGGAAAAGGGATGGGAGTCCAACCCAGGCCTGGGAGGCTCACCTGTCCCCGCACATGCCAATCCCTCTCCTCCTGCTCCCCCGGAAGCCTCACAGATACAACTCATACAAGCCGAGCCTGAAATTGGGCGAGGTGACTGAGGCTAAGGTACACTTTACTTCTTTCAAAGGCACAAATTCACCAATTCCCTAGGAAGTATCTTCACAAATCGCACTCTCCATGCTGTTAAGAGTACAAAATGGGTGAAGTTCTGGGCTCCGGAGTAACAAGAACAAATCATTAGGCCTCAATTATGCAGATAAATCAATTTTCCAATCCTTTCTGGTCCAAAGCACTGTAACAGCCCAGTGGGGTGGGAGGAAGGAGGAGGAACCTGCTACGAATTAAGATTCATCCCAGGGGTTGGGGCTGTAGCTCACAATGGAGTGGCTGCCCATGGGATGGTTCCTTTCATTCTTATGACACCCTAGGATCTCCAGCACGTAAGAAAAAAAATGATCCCAGAGTGGTAAAAACAAGACTGGCAAAATTAGTAGTTGTTGAGGCCCATAGATGGATCCCCAAAGGTTCATTATTACTACCTTTATGACCTGGGGAAGTTCCACAATAAAAAATAAAGACCAAAAGTTTAAAAAAAATGAACACAACGTGCGTGCAAAAGGCTCTCTGCAGAAGAATTCAAACGGGAGTTAGCTGGTCTGAAAATACTGAACAGGGCTTGGTGGCACAGCGGTAATCCCAGCACTTGGGGAGCTAAGGCAGGAAAACCTCAAGGACGGCCTGGCTTACATTGTAAGGCTATCTCAAAAAACAAAAACAAAAAAAAAAACTAGCTAAAGAGAGCATCGCTAAAATATACACTAGCCTGTAACTTGTCTAGAAAAATAATATTTTAACAATAAGAAGTAGGCCCGGGAATGTAGCTCAGCGGCACAAGGCTTCCCTGGCAAGCGTAAGCCCTGAGTTCAATTCCTGGTACCGAAAAACAAAGATTGCCCTGCCACAGGGTCCAAGAACAGGGTTCACTGTTGGTGCTTATTTACACTAGCTGACCAATACCCTGATTTGATCAGTATACCTGTGTACACGTGTTGAAACATCTTATTGTACCCTATAAATATGTCCTGTATAAGTATCACATGTCAATCCAAATTTTTTTTTTTTTTTTGGTTTTTCTCCGGTACCGGGAACCGAACTCACAACCTTGCGCTTGCCAGGCAGGCGCTTTTGCCGCTGAGCTAAATCCCCAGCCCGAATCCAAATATTAAAAGTAAACTTTAGTGAAGCCTTCTGCACAGTGAAGAGAAGTATTTACCTATAACAGAATCTCCTTCACTGGCTCTAGGGACTTCAAGCCCTTGCTTTGCACACGCAAAGCAAGCCTATTCTACCGCGGAGCTACACCCAAAATCATCTTTGAACTGGTTTTATTACTCTATTTTTTCTTATGGCAACATTCCTTCAAAATTGCTTTCAGCCCGGCGTGGTGGTACAGGCCCGTAAACACAGCACTCGAAGGCTGGGGCAGGCGATGCTTGCGAATCAGATACCAGTAAAGGGTTACATAGTGAGTTCAAGGCCAGCCTGAACTGCAGTGAGACCCGGACTTTAAAAAAAAAATGGAAAAGAAAAAGTACATCTACAAAAGTTTAAAACCAAGTCATACAAGGAGTCTTTTAAAACACTTGTAGCCAAAAAATGCATCCCTTACAATCCAGTAAGATTTTTCCAAGCTGCGGGATTCAACTGTTTTTATGGTTTGCAACTAACCCTATTTCATAAAACAGACAACTAGGGCAGAACAGACTACTAAATAGTATCTCACAGGCAACTGGGCTAAATATTTCTCAAAACTTTTATTTGCATTATAATTCTGTCCATATACTTCATCGTTTTGCAAAATGTAGCTTTCATTCCCAGGTCACAGGGCAACGGAGGGCAAAAATCCTCCCAGGACCACAAATTATCATGGTTCACCGGCGCCAACTGCCACTGTAATCAATTTCACGACAAATCGCACTGGCCACAAACACCTGGAAGACGCCAAGGCAGCACAGGGCAGCGGAAGGGCCGCGGGCGCCGTTTCCGCCGTGCCCGCGTGGGCGCTCGCCAGAGCGAACCCAGCGCAGAGCGAACGGGCGGGTCCCCAGGCGCGCTCGGCCCACACGGGGCCGCCGTGGA